AACCTTCCTTCCGAGGAGTGGCTGGTGGGTTTGAACTGCCAGCCTTCTGGTTAGCAGTCAAGTGCTTTAGCCACTATGCTACCAGAGCTCCCCACATTGGGTATAGAAATAAATAATCCTAAGACCAATATCTGCATACTCCCAAAGATGGAGACAAGGGTACTCTTAAGCCACTTCAAGAGCTTTAGAAAAAAATTTGCCCAGGAAAGAATTGGACAGGGCAGATGACCTTCCTATATATAATCAAGAGGTTGATGATAATTCACGCGTTTGAAGGGTGATACAAAATACTAAATAGATTATGTCATAGCCCAGCAGGAATTATAGCAATCAGAAGGTATTATACATAAAGAAATAAACCAAATGAAGACTCGGAGCAAAGGATGCATATTAGAATGACAGACTTCATCAACCAAGCAAAGTGACTCCCTGTTGTTGTTATGTGCCGTCGAGTCGGCCCCAACTCATAGCGACCCCTCCTTGGGTTTCCGAGGCAGTATCAGTATGGAAGTAGGATTGCCCAACCTTCCTTCCGAGGAGTGGCTGGTGGGTTTGAACCGCCAACTGTCTGGTTAGCAGGCAAGTGTCTTAGCCACTATGCTACCAGAGCTCCTAAGCAAAGTGACTAGACAGAAAATATTCTCAATTCAAAACCTCTGATTAAAGTTCTATCAGTTTTTTTTTTTAAAAAAAGCACTTATTTCCAGTATTTGTATATTTATTTACAAATAAATTAATAAACATGTATTAATATGAATGTTATGTATATTATGAACACAAAATAGAAAATTTTAAAAGATAAGATAAAAAGACAGAAATAGGTCTTCTTAAATATTCTTCCCACATCCAGTGGTCTATTGAGCATATCCTTTTGGGGATCCCTACCCTACTCTAGAACCACTGCTTTAAAATACTTACAAAAGTACAAAACTAAGGGTAATTACTCTAGTTACCTGAAAAACTCCTGGATAACTTTCTTCCTATTGCTAAATCAGATGTGCTCTTAATGTCCAGGGCAACTATTGAGATCTGCAAAGTCAGAGAATAGGAAATGCACAAAAAATCTTGGAAGCTTTATAATGGATAGAGATAAGAAACTATAAAGTGTAAACAACCCAGAGGCAGAATTGATTTTGTTCAGTTTTGATCTAAACTGTGTCCTCTATAATTGCTGTGATTTACAGGCTCAGTGCTTTAAGCCACGTGCTGTTTCCCGCCACAGGAAGGAACTGGGTAGTCATGAAAAAACTGTCACATAAATAGTCACTTACCAGCTTACCTGGGGAGTGTAATGTTGGACAAGAAGTAAAGAATGCGTTTTTTTTTTTTTACTACTTGTAAACTCCATGAAGAAAGGGGTTGACTGGTAAGATTTTTCTCAACATTTAAATCTTAATTAGCTACACAAGCAGATCAGAGAAGAGTCACAAAGAAATTGAAATCAAAATAAAATTAAAACTTTTATAATCAAGTTTGTAATGGGAAAGAAATACATTCAGATATAGCCAGGCATCTTCTTTCCTTAAATTTACACAGGGACCACCAGCCCAAAAATGGTAAGGCACAGTGGTCAATGCATGAATGGATCTTAAGAGTCAAGGGTCCAAGGTTGTAACTACTGGCTTGGTAACTCACTGGCTGTATAACCTGAAACAAGCTACTTAACTTCTGTAATTTTTCATCCCCTCATTGGTAAAATGATTATGCTAAAAACTTATGGGTCTGTGGAGAAGATTAAATGATATAAGGCATTTTAAGTACTCAGCACAGTACTTGGTAAACATTTCATAAATGTATATTTTTATATTATTAGTGTTTAAAGGCTAGCATGGAAATCAGCAGAGAGGAGGAAAGAGAGAGAATGTGGTTATGGTCAAATACATTTCCAAGTGATGTAAAGTTACTTTAAGGCCAATAACAGTTCTTCTAAAACTATCAGAGGAACATATATATCCCATAATTGCTTTTATGAAAACAACGTTGTTGTTGTTTTCAATCCGGATATCTATTCTAGGAATGGAAGAAGAGAAAGTTGCTTTTCTCCACCCTAGAAAGGGTTCCCCTCCTTGAGTTTCTGGAAGTCTAGTTACCTGTCACAGAGGTAGGACACCCTGGTTCAGTGTGATGAAGGCCCCCAGGGTTACTCAAACCAGCAGAGGAGACAAAACTCATATCTTACCTGTGCCCAGTGGTTTTGAAATACAATCATACATGTTTCTGGGTCAACTCCCTGCAGGCTCACAGCCTGCTGGAGTCTGCTTTCTGTGGCAATCGATGTCATCATAAACCTTCATAAATTAATTCTTCTAAGTCATATTTAATTTTCATGAAAATTAGGTAATCAGTCAACTTTCAAGTATCACATTAGAAATATAACTTCTTCACTTTTCACTGTCACCTTCAGAAACCTGGAATGACAATAACAAAAAAAAAAAAGTGCATATATTAAATAGGCCACTGACTATTAAATTTAAATCAAAGCACAGATTCTCAAGTAATAAAATATCTACAAAACAGATATTTTTCTTTCACCCAAATCACAATTTAAAAAAAAAAAAAAAGAGATATTTCTCCTTCTTGTAAAGGCTTTCCTATTTTCTCTTACTTTGTTACCAAAACTATAATGACACTACAAAGTCTACACGTAAATTAAACAATTATTGGGTTTATACTCTACCTCTATCTACCCCTTCCCAGACTGTTATTCTAAATCACTCAAATCTAGTTTCTACAAAAAAAGTACTAATGTAAGTTCAAATCAAAAGAGGCTTCATAACATGTCAGTAATCAAACAAGAAATTATGATACCAATGTTTGTAGAATTTTAAAAACACTCAGTAACAAGAAAACCATTAGTTAATGGTGACAGAAATAAATGGTTTGATGCAACTTGAGGAGGTTATGCAATAGTACCCAGACTCCTGGGTCCAATGTTACTGATTTTTCTTTTTTTCAATCAATGACTATTATAATAGAATTAAAAAATTAAAAGCATTTTCAGTCATTTTGTGGCTACAAGCTAAGTTAACGTTTCTAGCAGTTCTGAAAAATAACAGAATTCCAAGTGACCTTGAAAAATCAGATATAAATGATCTATCAAAAACAATATAGTACTTATTAGGTATGAGTACAAAGCAACACCCTTACAAATGAAAAATGAATTATGTGTGTAAAATATGATGAAAGTCTCAAAACAGCTGGTAGGGGAAAAAAGGATATGGAGGTCTGTCATGGATTGAACTGTATCCCCAAAATATATGTGTCAATTGCCTGGGCTGTGATTCTCAACTTTTGGGCAGTTACGTAATGAGGTAACTTGGCAGTTATAAAATAACGTAATCATACCCCACGATGTGATCTGATGTGATCAGATAATCAGTTATAAGGGGATTAGGTGGGAAACAACACCATTACTCACATCACAGCTTTTAACTGATGTTAGGGGTGTTTCCCTGGGGTGTGGCCTGCATTCCCTTTTATCTTACACAAAAGGAGAGAGATGGCTAAGAAGCAGACATATCATTTCCACAAAAAAGAGCTGGAAGCACAGTGTGTCCTTGGACCCAGGGTCCCTGCACTGAGAACCTCATAGACCCATGGGAAAACTCAGGCCAACACACACAGAGATCTTCAAGAGATGCCTGGCCCATAGATAGCAAATGGACACACAGACCTTCCCCCAGAGCCAACAGAAAGCCTTCCCCTAGAGCTGATGCCCTCCTCAATTTGAACTTCTAGCCTCCTAAACTGTGAGAGAATAAATTTCTGTTTGTTAAAGCCATCCACTTGTATTAATACTATAGCAGCACTAGGATACTAAGATAAGATCATAAAGTGTGTGGTAAATATAATCAAGTGGTGTGGTATTAACTCTAACAAAAGCAATATAATAGTGGTATGCAGTGAATTGCTTGATGTGGCCCTTCTAGCCATTGTCCTCCATTCTGTGATGTTTTGTAAATCCCATTATCCATGCCTGTTTGGGGTGCTGTGGTAGTGAAGGTCAGGTATCAACGTGGCTGGGCAGCTGGTAGTAGTCATTCCCTATAATCCATGCACTCCTGCCCCCTGAGCTGTCTCCCTGTGCATAAGCAGCCCTTCTTTCTCTCATGCTTGTTCTCTCCAAGGAGTGTATCTACCTCAGGTAAATGTTCAATTCATATGCCTGTCTATTGTTTGGCTGGAAGCCGCAGGTGTGTGTTCAATTCCAGACCTGAAGAGCATCTAGGGGCCATAGTCTCAGTGCTTCCACCAGGTTCTATCGGACCAGCAAACCTGGTCGCCCCCCCCCTTTTTTTTCCAAATGATTTTGAGTTTTGTTCCACATTGTTCTCCCTATCTATCCAGGATCTCCTACATAGATCCTCTTCCAAGTGGTTGACAGTAGTAGCTGGGCACCATCTAGTTCTTCTGGTCTCATAGTCATATAGGCTGCAGATCAGATGGTCTACCAGTTGCTAGGACTAATTGTTTCCATGAATTTTTGGTTTTCTTCATTCTTCTTGGCTCTGGATGAGAAGAGACCCATTATTGCATCTAGATGGCAGCTTGCAAGCTTTTAAGATCCTAGTCGCTACTCGCCACAGTAGGAGGTGGAACAATGTTTTGTGTAGTATGTTGTACCAATTGAGCTTGATGTCTAAAGGAAATATTTTCTGTATATGGTCTATAATTATAATTTATTACTGAAATTGATAAAGTTTCCAATCTATAATTCTTTTTTTTTTTTTTTTTAGTTTTTATTGTGATTTGGGTCAAAGTTTACAGAGCAAATTCTATTTCCACACAGCAGCTTACATACACTTTGTCTCATGACATTGACTGCAATTTCCCACAGTGTACTCATGAGGAATCTGTACCTTGATCAGGAGGCTGCCGTTCGAACAGAACAAGGGGACACTACATGTTTTAAAATCAAAAAGGGAGTGTGTCAGGGTTGTATTCTTTCTCCACACTTATTCAATCTATATGCTGAGCAAATAATCCGAGAAGCTGGACTATATGAAGAAAAACGTGGTATCAGGATTGGAGGAAGAATCATTAACAACCTGAGATATGCAGATGATACAACTTTGCTTGCTGAAAGTGAGGATGACTTAAGGCACCTACTGATGAATGTTGAAGAATACAGTCTGCAGTATGGATTACGTCTCAATATAAAGAAAACAAAAATCCTCACAACTGGACCAATGAGCAGCATCACAATAAATGGAGAGAAGATTGAGGTTGTCAAGGAATTCACGTTGCTTGGTTCTACAATCGATGCCAACGGAAGCAGCCGTCAGGACATTAGACGATGTGTAGCATTGGGAAAGTCAACTGCGAAGGAACTGTTTCAAGTGCTGAGGAGCAAGGATGTCTCCTTGAGGACTAAGGTGCGCCTGACACAAGCCATGATATTTCCGATTGCCTTGTATGCATGTGAGAGCTGGACAATGAATAGGGAAGACCGAAAAAGAGTTGATGCTTTTGAGTTGTGGTGCTGGAGAAGAATACTGAAAGTACTGTGGACTGCTAAAAGAACTAACAGATCTGTCCCGGAGGAAGTGCAGCCAGAATGCTCCTTGGAAGTGAGAATGGCCAGACTTCGTCTCACCTATTTTGGTCATGTTGTCAGAAGGGACCATTCCCTGGAGAAGGATGTCATGCTTGGTAGGGTGGAGGGTCGACGAAAGAGGGGGAGGCCTTCAACGAGATGGATTGATACAGTGGCTGCGATGATGGGCTCAAGTATAGCAGGGATTGTGGGGCTGGCGCGGGATCAGGAAGTGTTTCATTCTGCTGTGCATGGGGTCACTATGAGTCAGAAACAACTCTACGGCACTTAACAACAATAGCTCCCCTTCCCACTTCCTCCCCATAGTTACCTCTGCCCTATGTCCTTCCCTCCCATGCACTCCTGCCCCCCAAGCTGTGTCCCTGTGCATACACTGCCCTTCTATTCTCCCATGATTGATCTCTCCAAGGAGTATATCAATCAAATGTAAATGCTCAGCTCATATGCCTGTCTTTTGTTTGGCTGGAAGCCACAGGAATGGGTTCAATTCCAGACCTGAAGGGCAGGTAGAGGCCATAGCCTCAGGAGTTCCATCAGGCTCTATCAGAGCAGCAAACATGGTCCCCCCAACCCTTTTTTTTTTTATGATTTTGAGTTTTGTTCCACGTTGTTCTCTCACTCTATCCAGGATCTTCTACACAGATCCCCCTCTGAGTGGTTGATAGTGGTAGCCAGGCACCATCTAGATCTTCTGGTCTCATAGTCATATAGGCTGAGGACTGCATGTTCTACCAGTCCGTTGGACTAACTGTTTCCATGAATCTTTGGTTTTCTTCATTCTTCTTTGCTCTGGACGAGGAGAGACTCATCATTGCATCTAGATGGCTGTTTGCAAGCTTTTAAGATCCGAGTTGCTACTCACCAAAGTAGGATGTAGAACGTTTTTGTGTAGTATGTTATGCCAATTGAGCTTGATGTCCCCTACAACCATGGTCCTGAGCCCACAGGTCCAACTACTTGCTCCCTCTGGGTAGCTGAGTATGGCCAAGACATGACTACAACCTTGTCCCTTGTCAGCTTTACTATATACCTGGAAATTCTTACAGAACATAAAAACACACTTGTAGAAACACTGTCTGCCAACCTTGTACATGGTCATGGGCACACTCCCCCCTGCATAGACATAGAGTCTTTTAGCCTGTCCACCCATCTATCTACCCGTAGATGAATATTTGCCATCATTGACAACACAGTACTGTGTATACAAAAGGGTTCATCTTTGTTGTCTGTACCTCCCATACACCTCTCTATGTCTTCCTCTTCCTCAATGTCACCATGTTGATCACTCACATGTTGAAGGTACATTGCCCTTCCCTTCACCCAAATCAATACTTGGCTCTACCTATCTAGCAGTGTTCTCTCCCCTCCCCTCCTACCCCTGGTAACCAACAAAGAAAATTTCCTTCCATATATAAACCTTTCCTTGACTTTTTACAATAACTGACTAATACAATATTTGTCCTTCTGTCATTGACTTATTTCACTCGGCATAATGTCTTCCACATCTTGCCTCCAAGGGAGGCAAACTTGTCTGTCGGTTTGTCCTACAGTGGTGATGTGTTGATGTGAGTTTTGAGGCTGAGCCACTGGTGTTTCTAACCCAGCAGGATGCACATGGTGCACAGGTATCATCCCAGCTTACAGA